GTGTATAATTTATTATGACACTATGGAATATCATCTTTTAATGTGATTTCTTGTAGTAAATGGCACAAATTACAGAGATGCTATTGCTGAGGTCAACAGGGGTTACATCTTTTGAAGCTGGGACCCCCACAGAGGGCAGATGACAAAAGGGGTAGTGTGAATGGCATAGGAATGTGAAAAGGATTTTACTGTATGGATGTGAAGTCTGCAAGGTGTGAGGTTCTACACTTGGAAAAAGTCTGAATGTCTCTTCATCCATTTGGCCTGTATTTTGTAAGTGATGAGTAAATCTCTTTGATATGTAAATGCCATTAGCTTTGTTCTAGTATCATATCCAAAGGAAGGACAAAAACATTCATATTTACCCCCACAGAATAATAATTAAGCCTCATTTTTGTTATATTTGGAATGTGACAAGCGCCATCTTCTAACCAAGTCCAAACATGAGTGGCCTAACTTGACCCTAGGGAAAGGAATTGTGATGTCCGTCCTATTGGATCGTGGGTGGGACGTGCAACATGTCTATGGAATGGGAAAATAATAACAAATTTGTAGATGCAATTATTATTTCTGTGGCAGGTACAAAAAAGAAGATAGAGTCAAATGTTTCCATTTGGATTGACAGTGGTCTGGAACAAAGGAGGTGGTCAGTTATTATTTCTGTAGGTACGCCTTAACTCCACCCCTGGGCAAGACTTGATAAACCACAGGGTATATATCTAATGATCCTGAAGGGTGTTGGTGTACTTGCTTGGGGCCAAGATCTAATTTTGAGTGAGTCACCACGTTTCCTTGCCAGAGACCCCCTGGACAGAAGTTGTACTTTCAAAACCTAAGTGAGTAATTAGGATTTCTGTATTTTATCCTTTTTGTTTTTATCTGTTGTTGGTGTAAATAATTTGTCTATCATATATTTTTATATGCACTGTGACTATCTTTTGCTCATAATAAACATTCATTTATTAAGTTTTGCCTTTGTCTGGTTAAGGATCACGTTACCTGAAGAGACTAGTTAGTATTTTTATAATTCCTTAAATATTGTACTAAGTAATATTTGGTGGGTTTTATTATTGATTTACCTGGGGGACCAAGGCACCCCATTTATAAATTGTCTTGGTGGTGGCAGCGTTAAAGTAGTAATAGTTATATTATTATGTTTAAGTGTGGGTGGTGTTAAAGGGGGATTTTGTCATTATTTCCGGTCTAGTGCAGACAAATAGTGTACTTTAACCCTTTCACCACCACAACTACGTCACGCACACTCTTGGAGTAGGGTGCGTTCGTGACAGCCATGCCTCCTCAATGATATTTCAGGAGGTGGAGAGGTGAAAGAAGTAAGTAAAAACTTTAATTTAGTAATGTTTATTGCAAACCAGGGTTGGAGGGGAGAGATCTATATATAACCCGTGGCTTTAGCGTTAGTAATACAGGTTTGTATTCATTTAATTTGATAACTACCTTACAAAATGTACAGAGCAGATTATCAAGATGATAACATTTTCAATTCACACAACATTCGGATTTTCCTTTTTTACCTCTAAAGTCCGTTATAGTTGCTATAGATGAAAACATGGTAGAAATGGTAAACCTTCCTATAAATATACTTTCCTTTTTAGATTCCTTCTGTAAACTTCACTATATCACAGCTCCAGGATGCAACAGTAGTTGAAGATCAGAGGTGAAGATGCAACTGTGACAGTCTAACATACCTGGTCCTATTAGTTTCCGTTACCATGACCTTCTAGATTAAAATGACATTATTCAACTGACCTCTCGAAAGAACTTGTGTAACTTCACAAATCTTTCATCAAGACAGTTTAACAGAAAAATGACTATGGCAAAAAAAACACAAGTATTACAAAATAATTAAATTGACAAACTCCACGTCAGTGCAACCAAAACTAGGCACCCCCCAAAAAACACTACACCCTTACAGTCAAAACTCACTGCTATTAACTTAATTAAGAAAATAAAAATATAACATACACTGTGCTAAAAATATGTACATCTGAAAACATATTTTACAGATGTACATACGCAGTATGAATAAAAGAAGCACCTACACAAGATTAATACAAGCAATTTTCATGGTCTCTTCAGGAAATCAACGTTTTCACAGAAACATAACATCTTTCAATTACAAAGTACCTGAAAACAAATCACATTAAAGCCCTTGTTGACATCATTGAGTGTTAGAAGATCACTTTAATGTCTGGAGACCTGAACTTTGAAATTCATGAAAACAACTCTATAATTAACATTGATAAAGTACCAAATGTATCTGCCTCTCTGCAAAATCACTGCCTCCAAAAAAATGGTTCATTTACTTTACGCACTTTATTTCTATGTTTTAATTGTTAGTATTATATGATAAAAAAACATCATTATGTTTGATATTTGCAATAAATTTACATTTCTTCAAGTTGCTTACTTATATTTTGTCTTTACTAAATGTTATAACTTTCAAACCCATTCAGATGACACCGGCCATGATGCCTAATTTGTACCACCAACCATGATTCAGCACTTTAAATGAAATGAGCTGAGAGACCGGATGGAGTCATTGGCTCAGACGGTGCGCAAGAACTTCCAGGCGACTCAGCAGCTCCAGCAAATATGGTACGACTGGAGGCCAGACACCTTAGGTTTCAGGTCGGACAAAATGTTAGTACAAGGGCAGAGGGGAAGAAGTAGCTGAATGCGCCCCAGCCTCAGAAAACCTCAAAGCCCTACCCCTACCTGACTTATTAGGAGGTTACCCTAAAGAAGAGGCCATAGAGTTGGTACAGCTGGGGGACAGGCTAGGGACACAGGAACAGGGCCAATCCATCTGCCTGCTGGAAACCAAATAGGCCACGTTCTCCCAAGAACCTGGATATACAACCCTAGCTACTCATAGAGGCCGGACCCCATTATGTCAGCCCCCATATTGCATCCCCCCAGGCAGTCAGGGAAGGAATGCGGAAGGCAGTTGGGGAAGGAATGCGGAAGGAAATTAGATTATCCGCTTGGGGGTCATCAAACCTTTCGAGAGCCCTTGGGCCTCACCGGTAGTAGTAGTAGTCCCAAAACGGAACAGCACGACTCGTTTTTGTGTGGATTACAAGCAACTGAATGATAAGACAGTCACCAACGCTTACCCCATGACCGTATTGCTAGAGGACATTATCTGACTACCATTGACAAAGTACCTGAAAACAAAAACAAAAGCAAAGGGTATTGGTAGATATCCCTAGCAGAAGAAGCTATCTCCAAGTCAGTCTTTGTCACTCCGTTTGGCTTATACCAGTTCAGGGTTATGCCGTTTGAGATGAAGAGTGCCCTAGCCACCTTCCAAAGGATGGTAGATCGCCTCCTAGATGGTCTCCAGGATTATGCGTGCGCATACCTAGATAACATGGTGATTTACAGTGACACCTTGGAGGCTCACTTAGAACACATAGGGGCCGTACAAGATGGGATTAAGGGGGCCGGCCTAACCTTGAAACCAGACAAGTGTCATATTGGTATGATGGAGGTACAGTATCTGAGCCACCATGTAGGATGTGGAAAGAAACTGCCCGAACCAGCCAAGAATGAGGTTGTTGCTAACTGGCCCACTTCCCACACAAAGACTCAAGTCATGGCTTTCCTGGGGACAACCGGCTACTATAGACGTTTTGTCCCAGAATATAGTGCTATAGCCAAGCCCCTGACTGTCTTAACCAAAAAGAACTTACCTAGGCAGTTTCTGTGGTCCCCAGAATGTGAGACAGCGTTCCAAGCCTTAAAACAAGCACTTATCAATGCCTCTGTCCTTGCTGCCCCAGATCCTAACAAAAGTTTTATCGTCCATACAGATGCTTCCATGTTTGGACAGGGGGCAGTTTTAAGCCAGTTTGGCGAGGACGGGGAGAACATCCAGTGGCCTACCTGAGTCGGAGGGTTATTACCCAGAGAGGTTACACGGCTATTGAAAAGGAGTGCCTAGCTCTGGTATGGGCACTGAAGAAATTAACACTGTACCTTTATGGAAGAGCTTTCACCCTCATCACTCACCACAACCCATTAGTATGGCTCATCCTGGTCACTGGAGACAATGCCTGACTCCTGAGGTGCAGCCTAGCCCTGCAGCCATATGATGTTACTATACACTACAGACCCGGTAAACAGAATGGGAATGCAGACGGGCTATCTCGTCAGACCGAGCTAGCCAACGAAAAGACTGATTTTATTTCCCGGACATCCCCAAGTTGATCCGAAAAAAGGGTCAAACCATGTCTGCTGGAGCCATAGCCAAAGGGGGAGCAGTGTGAAGGAATACCTCATCACTTGGTTTGGTAACTTTCATTTCCTTTCTGTTCATTTGCTTGTTCAAAACCAACATAGTTTGGTTCCCGAATAAGGACCACCTCAGCACCTCATTAGGCACAGTAAGGAGTTTAGTGTATGCATAAAATGAGAGTGCTTGCCTGCATTAAAGAGATCTACTCCCAGCATTTCGTCTCGACGATTGTGTGGGGCGAAAGGCAATACCAGTGATATTTACTTTCATGAGAGATAGAGCTATGTTATTTTGGGAAAGGAAATCCGTGGGGGCGATATACTGGCGGTCCTCCACAGCTTTCCTTGCTATAAGATACAGCTAGGGACTAATGAAAGTATTTAGAAAATTGGGCAGACTAGATGGGTCAAATGGTTCTTATCTGCCGTCACATTCTATGTTTCTATTTTAAAACCAGATGCTAATAGCCACTCACACTGTATACAGTAGTTGCGGATTAGTAATGGACAGGTGGGTAACGTTTTGTTGTAAAGTTTTTTTTTTTATCTAATAATTTTTTTGCTGGCTGCTTATTCAGCCAGTAGAGGAATATTTATTTGGGGGAAATAGCTATTTTTGATTTATTGCTGGCACTTTAGAATAGTTTCCAACTAGACGTCATCAGGATCAATATGGAGCACAATAAACTAGAAAGGATAGTAAATGTATTGAACTACCACTTCTATTTATTTATCTGAAATTCTCTGATTGCTAAAAAAATATTTTCTTCATATTTGCCAAGCCAAAAACAAGAGGGAATACTAACATTCCTTTTGGACCATGCTTTTATTGAATATAAAGTATGCAAAGATAAGTATATAGATATAAATTAATAACAGTACATCAACATTCCAGTCATACATTTCACATTTCTTAAGGAAAATGTCAGGAAAGAAAATGCTAATACTTGATGAAAAGTGATGAAAATGACAAAAAAGCACCTTTGATGGCTGAAAAAGAACATTTTCAAGATGGAACTTTTTGACATGCAATAAATATTCACCTTCATAGTTCTCCTCTAGTTAATTATTATTCTGCCAACAGGAAAGGGATTTCAGATTCAATTCACAGAAGTAATGTCACTATCTGAATTTAGTATTTTTAGATTGTCAATCTACAATGTTAGATCAAAGAACAAAAGTCAAAGAAATGTTTGAAATTTAACATTTGCTATTTGTATCAAAACCACTTTACTGTTTGTATCCTCAAAACAGTTTATTTTCCCTGTAATAATGGTAGATTGGGATAAGAGATGAACATTTATTATTATGATTATAGTAAACAGTTGTAGCCTAAAAAGGTATTTTATCTGTATAGAGACTCTGTGTGACAGCTCAGGCTTTTGTTATGAGCATTGTACGTATCTAGTCTTGAAAGGTACCATACAAAATATATAGAGGGCGATAGAGACCAAAAACTACATCAACAATTTTTCATGTTCAGGAACACTACCCATACACCAATAGGGAAGGGGCTCATGACTGCTGGTCAATTTCTAAAGCAGTTCTTTATTAGTGCTATTAAATGAATAAGGTCGAAGAAACACTTTTTAGCATTTTAGGCCTTCCCCCCCAATACTTTAATAAAGTGCGGCGACTCCTCTGTTGTAGTGGTGATCTTAGCCAATCAAATGCTTCCTCTAAAGTGCATGTCTTGCAGTTACTGCCCATAGAGGTACATTGAGTCTACACAACTCTATGGAAAGCGTTCGGTGTCTCGATGGAGTGGATATATATATTGAACGTTGATCATGCAATGATTGTAGTGCTTCAACCAGGAAATCCCTCAAGTGGCTGTGTGAGTGATAGCCACTAGAGGTGGTATTAGGCATCATGGTAGAATGATAGTTAATAGGGAGGGCACACTATAAGTAAAACAGAAGACAACTGAATCCAAAATAATAACGAGTCAGGGTGCTCACTCAAGGCCTCTATACAGAATAGAGTCTGTAAATACAATCTATAAAGAATGAATGAGGAGCACACCCCATAAAAAGTAACAAAATATGTATTAGATAAATCTATATCCATTTATTAGCGTACACATATTTGCATGTTGCCAACTGGATAAATAAGCAAGAGTAATAGGATATACATAAATTAAAGCCGTAACATATACAATGAACACAAAACAAATCAAAATTAAGCACAAAAGCAATAAAAAATAGTCATGAATAAACGATATATGTGTACAAAAACAATCTGAATATATACCAAAAGAAACACCGGATTGCACAAGAAAACAATGTGAGAGGCGAGGTATACCATAGCAAAAATAAATGACTGTAATCACAACGTTTCGGCAAAACTGCCTTTTTCAAGGGAGCATGCAAACACAGGGAATAAGATTGCTTAATATATACCCCCTGAAATCAAGCAAAAATCAATCATTCAAGAGTGATGGGTGGCCAGCAATTCAATGACCATGGATAATCGGGAATGAAAAAAATAAAAACAGCTTACTTCACTGGTAGATTTTCCCATGCAGAAAAGGTTCATGAGTCTAGTATACCCAGGGCCGGCACTACAGCTAGGCAAACTAGCTTGGTGGGAGCAGCTAACAGCTTCCTGTCAGATCGGGAGGAGGATACAAAAGATCCACTACCTGTGATCCGCTCAGCCACGCTACACAGGGGAGGTGAGTAGGCGGGCAAGGGATGTAGAGAGAAAGACACATAAAGGACCTGTGGAAGGAGAAAATGATGCACACAGATGGGCTGGGCAAGGGGAATTAGAGACACAAAAGGGCTTGAGGAAGGTAACAGTGACACACACAGAGAAGCTGGCAAAGGAGACACAGGGGCACTCAGAGGGGCTCGGGGAAGGGAACAGTGACACACACACAGAGGGGCTGGGGAAGGGAACAGTGACACACAGAGGGGCTGGGGAAGGAAACAGTGACACACAGCGGGGCTGGGGGAGGGAAGGGAACAGTGACACACACAGAGGAACTGGGGAAGGAGACACAGGGACACTCAGAGGGGCTCGGGGAAGGGAACAGTGACACACACAGAGGGGCTGGGGAAGGAAACAGTGACACAAACACAGAGGGGCTGGGGAACACAACAATGACACACACAGAGGGGCTGGGGAACACAACAATGACACACACAGAGGGGCTGGGGAACACAACAATGACACACACAGAGGGGCTGAGGAAGGGGAAAAAAGACATGCAAAGGGGATGGGAAGAGAGACATGCAAAGGGGCTGGGGGAAAGAGAAACCCAAAGGTGCTGGGTAGAAGTGACATACAGATAAGCTGGCTCTTGCCTAAGGTGCAAAATTCTCTATCACCAGCCCTTGGTATAACATTAAAAGAAAGTCTTGTATGGTTGTTCTTAAAGGATATGCCTCTAAACTTTAGCTTGTTTTACTAATGGTGTTTATTTGGTAAACCACAAACTGCAGTGACTTGTAAACATAATTGATGTTTGCTATGAATATGATAGTAACTATGACTAAGCTGAGTTGGATAATTTTTTTAAATCAGCTATTTTTGTATAAAGTTTTACAATTCCCTTAAAATTGTGCATATTCCTACAAACATCAAGCTACTATAAAATTGTGCTTATATACTCATGTACCTCAATTGTTTGCAAACTGTCGAACCTGTGGATTACTGTTGGGGTACCACAGGTCTGTATGTACTATCTATATGCACAGCAAAAATATAAAATAAAAATAAATAAAAAAAATTACAATTCATTTATCAATTCAGCACAATTTGTTGTTTATTGAATGAACCCTTGAGTATTAAAGGGACACTAAAGGCTCCAAGAACACTCCAGCTCATTGAAGTGGTCTGGGTGCAGTGTCCCTATTGCAGTTAGTGCTGCAATATTAAACACTGGAGTTTCAGAGAAACTGCACTGTTAGAGTGTTTTTTTAATAGTGTAATGCTAAATGAGAGTCCACGGCAGCCTGGCTCTTCTGTGCTGCTCAGGCTGATAAGGAATCATAAACTCAAGCAGCAATTAGTGGCAGTGATTAGCTTAGAGTGTCAGTCTATCACAGGTGGCTATTTCTGGTACAACGTGGTGTTATTATGAAAGAGTGGGGGTCAGGCTGTGTGTGGCCAGGGACTCTCATTTAGTGTTAAACTACTCAAACATGGTTTAATACTGAATGGAGGAGCAGTTCCTGGCACTAAAACCTGTTGGATGAGATGAAATGGCTATAGTACCTGCAATGTCCCTTTAAGAATATTTTGCATAACTTTAGCACACACAGCAGCACAGATTGTTTAACAGACAGGCACTATAACTTCAACAACATGTCTGATATCATCTAGCTCAAGATTACTAGCTCCTAATTCTTATCCATGTATTTTCATGTATCTTGCCTTTAACTGGTAGGAAGGAATAATCCCATACTCCAAACACAGCTTGAAGTGGCTCAGTGAAGGTGTCAGTGAATGTGTATAAATGTTTAATCACGTCACCTAGCTCATAAAAAGATAATTGCCCAGTCTCATAGTTCAAGTATATTCCCAGTCTGTGGCAGGAATACCTGTAAGGTAACCGGATTGGTTTACTGTCATGTCTCACAAAATATTGATCATTATTCCACTTCCATAAACCCCAGTACTTTGTATTGTCTCCAATCCTTGAGTGACATCCATTTCCCTTTATACTGTGATACGTCATTCCTACAGTCCATATTCCTGATTTACTGCCTTCCACTTCCCAGCAATGTTGACCTGAGGAATAACTGTTGGTGCTTAATACCTGAGGATACTGAAATCTCTCTTGTGTTTCTGGACAATTTTGGTTTATTAGTGACACTGACACAGTTTTCAAAACACTAGACAAAGTTACATAATTACTGGCAGTGTTTATGTCCTGTAAAATATCAGCAGTAATTTTTGTATCCGTTAATATGTGCGAAACATCCTGTATGTGGTGCAATCCCTTTATCCCAGCCGCAATATCAGATAAGCCTGAGTGCAAGGTCACAGATATGAGACCCAGATTCAGGTCCCCTAAATCGTGGCAATTTACATCTGTCTCGGTATCCTCATTATCACCCTCCTCAGCTGTATCACAATAGTCAGCGCTCCTTTGCAAGGCAATGTATGGGTCAGTGATAAGAAAAAGCTCCTCAATGTCAAGTCTCTTCGTAGACAGCTCCTCCACCTTTATTTTCAGTTGCTGGATCAGTTCTGAGATTCTGAGTGAGATCTCTTCTTCTTGCCTGGAGATCTCACCCAACACTCTCCTTTCCAAAACATCCAGCTTTTTCCTTATGTCCACAATCATGACACTGACTCGCTCTCTTACATCGGCTGCTACTCCTCGAACTTTTCTCCTGTGCTCCTGCAGACCCTGGATTCTTTTATTAGCTTCTTCTCTCTTTGACTTCAGTTTCTCCTGAATAATTTTCAGTTTCTGCTTTTTCTTATTGAAGGCAACAGTTAAAGTCTCCACCTGGTGACCCCGATGACCTCCAGATGTGATGCAGTACCTACATATATAGACAGAGTCCGTAGAGCAATAATGGCTCAAGACTCCCCAGTGGTCAGAGCATTTTAGATTTTCTAGCGCAATGGTGGGTTCAGTTAAGATATGTTCTGTTGACTTAGTATGGACACTAAGGTGACTCAAACACAGAGAAGCCTCACACATTAGACATGTTTTAGCCGCCGATACATGGGAGTCACAATAAGTACAAGATATCACATTTTCCGTATGCTCGGAGTGAATAGCTTGGAAACTTTTTGCTATGTTACACAATCTAAGATTTCTTTTCAGCACTGTTTTCCGGCAAAACTGTTGTCCACATTCAGCACATTCAGAATATTCTTTCCCCGTCTGGTTTGCCCATGTCGTTGTGATGCAGACCTGGCAGAAGCTGTGTCCACACATCAGGGTTACAGGATCTGTATAAATGTTCAGGCAGAGGTAGCAGGTTAGCTGTGATCTCAGACCAGCAGACTCCATAACGGAAAACTATAGAAATGAAACTTAAAATGAAACTAAATTCTTTTCAGAAAGCTGTGGGCGTCCTTTAACCACATTCCAGCACGTGGACAATTTGAACACAGACCTCAAGGTATGGAGCGTTAACTCTGTAGATTCCTGACTGTAGCAAATGTTATTGCTTCCAAAAGAGATGTATAGGTACCACATTGCAGTTAAAGTAATGGTTGCAGGTAAATCATATTTAAGTAACATTATTTAAGATGATGTTTTATTTATTTCACAAACTGTAATAAAACATAGTATATTCATGTTTAAACATTTGGAAACCTATTACATTTTTACTACAGCTTTCTTTCTGAGGGCCTTGTGCCAGCATATAATTTGCTGGTGATTTGACATTTAAACTTCATACACTTACTCCTCACATTTTGATACTAATAAAGTATTTGACAACAATGTGGCAGTTTATGCCATGATGCAGTACAAGTATTTCACATAATTTGAATGCATAGTCCTGCTGGCACTGAGGAAATCTATATATCAGCCCATGCTGGGGTCTTCCTAATGTAAACTGGGTTCAGATATAGTGGTTAATTTCTCAGGACTCCCAACTGTCTTGATTTTGGTTGGTCAGCCCCTATTTTAGGATCGTGTCCTGTGGTCCCCTCCTGGCAGCACAGTGTAAGTTATTCATTAGATGTGCTCGCACTTTCCTATGGGCACTGCAACTAACATTTTAGCAGCACTTTGCATGTTCTTTTACATTTGCTTTTGGGCTGTCTGTTTGACACCCCTCAGTGGGTGGGCCTACCGAGCAATGCAAGTTGTTTCTCTGGTACTGTCCGCTAGCCCCTTGTCCCTACTTCCCAATGTTGGTAATGAAGCATTCTAAGCAATTCTAGCCACTTTACCGCATCCTTGGAGACAGCGAGATGAATAACCACCCGATAGTTCTCATATATCCTGGGCTATCAAACATGCACACTGCCTGATATACATAACTTCACACTGCCAGACACACACATAAATACATTGCAAGATATACACAAATACACATAGATATACACTGCCATAAACAAAGAGATCCTTAATGTCACATGCAGACACACTGCCACATACAAATACTGTTATAAGGGCTTGCTCCTCACCACCAGCTTCCTCCAGGACATGCTGTAGCTGTTCACGCTTCCTGCGGTTAACGTTCTGGCCTCAGTGTCCGCTGCACATATGTCCTAAGATGGAGATATCGCACTTGGCAGACTTTATGGAATGAGGTGACAATCCACCTCTAGGAAAAGGTTGTCCTTCTGAACAGGGAACCCCTATGAAAGCTATGAGCACACTCGGTCCAGTTCTTGGTTATTATGAAGCTTTGGCTTATTTTAACTGGTGTGCAGACCTTGACCTGAACCCTTCACCTGATCCTACCCTGCTTCTAACAACATTGAATCTTCCAACTCGTGGGAATTGACTAGAAGAGAAGACGTTGCCTCCTAGATGACATTGTGGAGGTGGAGAGGTAAGAAGCACACAGAGAGTCTTAGCACTGGAAAAAGGCGAGTAAAACTTCATTTTATTGAAAATAAAACTACATATAATTAGGGTCAGGAGCACAAAACAGAGGTTTTCATTCCTAATGTTACAGCAAAATACTGTAAGTTCCTTATTTTAAGACACGCAACACCATGAATTCAACGTTTAAGTCCCATTACTTAGTTAAACCTAGCTGCTGGGATAGCAAAGCTGACAGCTATTTACATAGTACAGGAAAATCTTTATGATTGGTCCCGCTGTTAAGTATGCTATTTACAAATGGCCAGGTCTGGTAGCATCTTCCATGTGTTATATGTCCTCTAGATTATTAGGTATCACTGTCCTGCATGAGACATCCTGCACTCCAAGAACTCATAATCTGATGGGCAAACTAACTTGAACCTTGATTCCTCACTTCACGCTACTGAAGGGTTATATAATTAACTACATAAGGTGAGCTGCACATAGTGACAAGTACTATTTTGGTGAGACAGTCCTGGTGTTTGGGTTCTTCTAACTTTGTTCCCTGGAAACTGTAGCCAAAAAAGTGTAGCGGAAGCACATCCTTAGATGAAGTGCTCCCTGCATGTCCTGCTCTCAGTGGGCTGACCTGCTGTATTGGCAGGCAACCTGGAGTCCATTAACGCCAATCTGACCTGCCCGTAATTTGGATGGCAGGTCCCCTTTCCAGTTGGTCCTCTTTTGGTTAGAACCAGTGACTGTCCAACCCCTTTTACTCCCACCAGAATCCCTCTTCTCTGGAAAGTTAATGTTGGAGGGTATGAGTAAGCACCCTGCTATTTACTTATTACCCACCCCATAACCTGAGCTGTGTTGGGTCACTCCATCCAACAGCCCAGTTGATGGAGTTGGGAAGTACATTGACAGCCTCATTTTTAAGCCTGTGCATGCTCTAATGGAGTTCACCTACCGTGTCATTCAAGATATTAAAATCTTGGTGGCTGTACAGTGTAAAGTTACTCTGTAATACATCTATTAAAGAAAGCATTGTGCCACCAAAAAAAAAAGTCCCCTCCTCCCTTGCAACCAAACCTCCCTCCCCTCCCCCCCAAGGTTCATAAGGGGTCAAAAACCCTTTCTGTCACTTACCTGACTCCAGCGACAAAGTCCCTCGGTGCTGGTTCAGACTCTACATCTTTCTCCACCGACATCAGCCAGCAGCGGGGAACTAATGCTCATGCACGTCAAACTCCACAATTGCATTAGGACTTCCCCATAGGAAAGCATTGTATAAAAGCAAAGTGTGAGGATGTCCAGCGTCATTTAGGCAACCAAAAGTCTCCTAAAGACCCGTAAGGCCCTCTAGTGGCTGTTTGGTAGACAGCAACTAGAGGCGGAGTTAATCCAGCAAAGTAATTATTGCAGTTTGCCAAAAAACTGTAATAATTACTACTGTTGGGTCAAGGAACCTGGGACACTCCACTCAGACCACTTCACAGCTGAAGTGGTCTGGGTGCCTATAGTGTCCTTTTAACCCCTTAAGGACCAAACTTCTGGAATAAAAGGGAATAATGACATGTCACACATGTCATGTGTCCTTAAGGGTTTAAGAAAGTGTTTTTACATAAATATGTTAGTTCAGTTATCGTTAGTTATGTTTGCTCAATAACTAATGTAGAGCTTTAAACTTTATTGGTTTATAAAAAAAATAAATAAAAAAACTCATACATTTAAAAAACAAACAAAAAAGGTTAACACACGTTACAGGTGATTTTAATATTTGATTGAATGGTGTAAACTCCAGAGAGGTTACAATTCCCTCTAAAGGGACATTATAATTCCCTTACAATTCCCTCTAGAGCGACTACTTCTCACTGAAGTAGTCTAGGTGCCATATTCCCTTCCCTTTAACCCTGCAAATGAAAACATGGCCATTCTGCCATACAATGCAGGGTTTAAATGCCTCGAGTGGCTGTCACTCTGACAATGACAGCCACTACAGGTGTTTCCTCTGGAATAGCCAAGTAATACTCTGCTATTTCAATCAGGTGGTCTCATAGAGACTATTTGATTGGCGCAGCATGGCGTTTCGCCACGCATGCGCGTTAGCCCCTCCAATGCATTTCTAAGGGAAACGATTGGATTGGCTGATATCATCGGTTACTAGGACCGTATAGCATTAGGAATACACATTTGATAGGTAGAGATCTAGGTTAGTCCAATTCAGCAATATCTAAATTGATATGGACCTCCCAATCAAAAATATCATGACTGGGAGAAGCGAGGCACATGTTTTTTCTAACACTTATTACTTCTTAAAGGAGAACGGTCATATCCCAGGATTTTTAATATAATGTTTACTTATATTAAAGAGCAAGAGACAGGTATGTGAGGTAGAGGTTACTCTGGGAAGCCATAGACATTCTTCATCTGAAATAGACGTTCTTCATCTGGATTAAAAATCACCAATAGTTTATCAGCGTTTTAAGACATTTTGCATCTTATCATCAGACTAATGGAGCGAAATAAAATATTCAAGGAGATGTTCAACTTTTTGCTGCTGTTCTTTTCAAATGCTTTTTATTAAATTTGCACACAAAATTTTTTTAGCGAAAAGTAACAATGGAAAGGAATACAATATAGAAAAAAGGGAAACATGTCGGCAAACTAATTCTCCATCAACAGTCAATTATACATATATTGTATTACATGACATTTCAAACAATCATAAAAAAATAAAATAAGAAACATAACATATAATAATGACAAGAAGATTCCATATATTGTATTATTAATTCAATGAAAAATACTAGCCATATTGTAATGTATCCAAAAGTGCTTGCATGTATTATTGTTTTGGTAGAGTTCAATTATCATACTGGTATAAACAAGGGCATACATGGGGAAAACATGCTACGTAGAGAGGTGAAAAAAACTGCAACAGTCTTGACATGTCAACTCCTTTGAATTACATACGGCACCGTGATTATGACTTGCTAAAAATAATAGAAGACATAGTCTAGATAAAATCTGTGATTTCACTAAAACAACTTCTACTATTCGTATACAAATCACTCACATTCCATGGCATTGCTAGGTGGCAAAACTACCTTAAACCTTAAAGGACGACTGTCCATTCAAAACTATTTTTAAATCTAGTAATCCTTTCATCAAGTTTTGAAAAGAAATTTTTTTTTTTTGCTTTAAATTAATAATATATATATATATGCGAAAAACTAGCCCCTACCTTTAGTATATGACTGGACCCTTCAGCCACATACGTGCATCTTGGGTCAGACGGTGTTTGAAAACCGATAGTTAGTCTCTACAGTCTTTCCTGCTTCTGTGCAGTGAGTGAACGGGGAAGATGACAGAGACTAACTCGGTTCTCTCTCAGTATTACATCATACCTACCAACTGTCCCTATTTGGAAGGGTAAGTTCCTATTTTGGAGACCAAATCCCTCTGTCCCTCTTTTTTCCCCCAGTCTCTCTATTCTAGGAGCTCCAAAGTGTTGCTATGTCTGAGTGTACACTCCCAGTAATGGGCGTTTAAACTACAACATATCTGGAAATCAGTCTATATAAATAAAATACATTGTTCTTGTTCTAAATTACATTTTAGTTGCATAAATTGCTATTGGTAAGTCACCTAAAATGTCTCGGAAGAGCCCTGCCATTGGCCACACCTTCACTCACACACCTAAAATTAAATGTTGGAAAAGTATGTAAGGGCTAACAATGAAATGGATCCCAAATTAGAACTGGGGCTTTTCAGGACCTTACATGGAGCTCCAGTCCTTGTCAACCCCCCTCCTGTCTAGCAAGACCCCAGCTTACATTGTAACACAGAGTGTGTGGGATGATCATCTAAAACTTCTCATCTACAATCTGACTTGTATTACTAGCACTTTATTCTTTCAAAGGGATTTTAAAATGGATAAAGCTCTTAAACGGACAGGACTACATCATTCCATAACCCTAACCCAGCATGAAGAGGCTCAGTGAAGGTGGCAGTAAAGGTATATAGGTGTCTTATAGAGCCACCTGCCTCATAAAAGGACAGTGATTCAGCCTCATAGTCCACGTATACCCTTATTGTCTGAGAAGAAGGTTGGTGAGATAACTGGATTTCTTTACTGTCATGTATTGCTGAATAATTTTTATGATTTTGCCACTTTTCCAAAGCCCATGACTTAGTATTGTATCCAAGGAATGACTGATCTCCCTTCCTTTCTATACTTGGATATGCCATGCCTATTCTCCAATCCCCGGATTTACTGCACTTCACTTCCCAGTAATGTCTACCTGAGGAGAAATTTCTGGTACTTAAAACCTGATGACATTGAAATCTCTGCTGTGTTTGTTCGTGTATCTGGGAAATGCCTGACTTGGACACAGTTTTCAAGTCACCTGATATAGTTAAAAAATTACCAGCTGTGTTTATATCCAGTAAAATATCTGAAGCCATGTGTGCATTCAGTAACATTTCCATCGGTACACTGAGCTGTCTCATTACTTGACTCACAATATCAGTTAAGCCAGGGTGTAAGTTTGCGGAAATCAGACGCATATCCAGATCCCCTACAGAGCTAAAATATGTACCATTTCCCTGGCTGCTCTTAATGTCTCTTTCCTCAGAATCCGGAAGGTCCGCGTTATTCAATTCCTCTTCCTGTAACACAATGAATGGGTTAGTCATACTACACAACTCCGTAAAGCGACGTATTTTGGTGGACATCTTCTCTTTCTTTATTTCCAGCTGCTGGATTAGTTCTGAGATTCCGAGGGTGATCTGTTCTTCCTGTCTAGAGATCTCCTCCAAAACATTCTTCTCTAGGACTTCCAGTTGTTCCTTTATGTCCCCAATCAGGGCAATGAGTCTCTCTGTTACACCAGCAGCTTTTTCTTGAACTTCTCTCCGGTGGTCATTCAGATTCTGTATTCTTTTGTCAACCTCCACTCTCTCTGAGGTTAGTTTTTCCAGGATTTGTATTAAAATTTTCTTCTTCCTCTCCAAGGCCTCATCCAGAGTCTCCACTTGATGTTCCAGGTGTTCTCCAGCTTCGATGCAAAACAAACAGATACATGTAGCGTCTTTAGAACAGTAAAAGTCCAGGATCTTGTTATGGATTGTACATTTTTTAGTCCACCAGCAGATGGTAGGTTCAATCAAAGTGTGTGCTGCTGACTTGCTGTGTTTCTTTAAATGGTTTTCACAAAGAGAAGCTTCGCACAGCTTACATGTTTTAGTTGCAGGTACAGGATTGTTAATGCAATAAGTACATTTTACCCTAATCTTCTTCTGCTCTGTACAAGTAGGTTTGAAACTCACAGATATGTTATGCAGTCTGCAGTTAATTTTAAGCTCAGGTTTTAACATAAACCTTTCTCTGCATTCAGGGCAGGAATATTCTCTCTCCTCCTGGTTGTCCCATGTTTGGATGATGCAGCTCTTGCAGAAGCTATGTCCACATATCAAGGTTATAGGATCTGTGTAGATGTCCGTGCAGATGGAGCAAGTCAGCTCATCTTGTAGATTAGTAAACGCCATTATTGAAAACTGATGGGGAAAAAGGAAACTTTTATTTCCTCTGAAGAACCAGTTGGGCGTGTTTTGACTTTTATCTACATGAGCCATGTACAATTTATTACGCAAACTTCAACTTCCTTAAACTTCAGGTTGTTAACCCTGTAGAATCCTGACCGTAGTTGGGAGGAAGATTCTATGTGAGATCTACTAATACACATATTACACGACTCTGCTGGTTGCTGGTAGTTGTCTCTTTTATTACATTTGTCTGACTTTCACTGCCATCACTGCAAGATGGTCTGGTGTGTCAAAATTTCTTATCTGATATTTGGCCCCTTAAAGTGCTCACAGTTTTCTTGCAACACCTCTTATTGATGCTAACAGAGTGCAGTAGAAGCTGTAACGGACTTGGCAGTCTGTACCTTAACAGACACAGCTTTAAGTCTTCTACTCTTGCGTTGTGTAGTCAGTAAGAATGATGGAAGGGTGTAACATTATACAGGTGGTCCTCACTTTGCAACCTGCCTGTTTTGTGACGGCTCACACTTATGACCAGCTCTCTAGCGTGGGGACTCAAAGGATTCCTGACATTAGAGAGTTGGTCTAGGTTCAGAAAATTTTCCCTGAACATAGATTAGAGGGATTCCCTGCTCTGGTGCAAATGTCTAAGTTCAGGGAAATTTCCCCAAACATAGAAAAACGAACCAGAGCAGGGAATCCATCTAACCTATGTTCGGGGAACATTCTGGTGAACTTGTCTATGTTCGGGGAAATTTCCCCGAATATAGACCTACACTGGTGCGCATGCGCCTCACTTACCAACCAATTAGTTTAATGACCGGCTCTGTATTACAGTGTCACTCAGTCAATTGAGCTCTGGAAACGACAAATAACTTGTTTTTAATGTTGTTAATATTTACTGACTACCTGCTTCACTGGCAGATGACACTAACAAGTCCTAGTCAAGTGGTCTCACATAGGCTGAATTCCTTTAATACAGTGTGTGCAGTACAAATGTGTCAAATAATGTGCTTTCCACTAAGATTACAGCATACACTACATAATAAATCTAGGGTGATAACACAAGAACTCCAAATCAGGACTGTCACTTAAATACAGGATTATTGGGAGGTATGGACTGGCACAGGTGTATATTGCTGTTTATATTTATTTGAACTAGTTATTTTTCTGACAAGCAGCAGATCTAAAACCCCCAAATCTATGCGTAATTCCGAGTCGATCCCTTCTCTTAACTAGAAACTCAAATTAGTGTAGAAGCAAATTTTATATTTAACAAATGACTAACGTAACATACAGTACAAAGTGCAGAGCAAGCTACACATATATAAATTAAACATAACAATATTAAAGATATCCCCAGAATGCTGCAATGGCAGTCTTTCTCTAGATACACGCTGCAGCATCATGTATTTTTTAAATTATTGGATTGAATCTAAAATTGGATAAGGGCTGGGGTTCATCATAGGGCACAGTGGGACTTACCTGTCCTTACCTTAAAGTAAATACAATAGATTTGTGAATTCAGTTCTACATGAATCATGGTTTGTATGACTTTTGGGCAATCGGTGAGTTGTATGAATTCTGTAACTCAGAATCGCCGTAAGACCTAATCATGAAACAAACGCTGGGAACAAACAAGCCGTTTTATTTGTTTAAAGGAACACTATAGTCACCTAAATTACTTTAGCTAAATAAAGCAGTTTTAGTGTATAGATCATTCCCCTGCAATTTCACTGCTCAATTCACTGTCATTTAGGAGTTAAATCACGTTGTTTCTGTTTATGCAGTCCTAGCCACACCTACCCTGGCTATGATTGACAGAGCCTGCATGAAAAAAACTGGTTTCACTTTCAAACAGATGTAATTTACCTTAAATAATTGTATCTCAATCTCTAAATTGAACTTTAATCACATACAGGAGGCTCTTGCAGGGTCTAGCAAGCTATTAACATAGCAGGGGATAAGAAAATCTTAATTAAACAGAACTTGCAATAAAGAAAGCCTAAATAGGGCTCTCTTTACAGGAAGTGTTTATGGAAGGCTGTGCAAGTCACATGCAGGGAGGTGTGACTAGGGTTCATAAACAAAGGGATTTAACTCCTAAATGGCAGAGGATTGAGCAGTGAGGCTGCAGGGGCATGTTCTATACACCAAAACTGCTTCATTAAGCTAAAGTTGTTGAGGTGACTATAGTGTCCCTTTAATGATTTGGAGTTCCCTTTGTACGCAAAAAAAACAAACAATAACTTGATTGATGGAAAAAAAGATGATGGATGGTTAGTGGACAGCCACTAATTGCTGGTTTTATTCATTCACAGATCAAGGGAGAGGTGACAAATACAGGGGGAACAAGTTAGATATTTATGTTACATATTTGATAAATACATAATATAGAACTATAAAAATATAGATTTTGTTTTTACAGCTCCTCCTTTTCCACCCTCTGTGGGTCACTTCTTCTCACTTTATCTGTGAAACAAATGGGGAGAAATGTGCCAAACAGCGTACTGCAAATTGTATCCATAATATTTGTGTTATATACGTATTTTGCAGTATACTGAAAGGAGGATTTTCAGGCCATTTAATTCATCTGTATAATTTTTCCAAAAATCTTTGCATATACAAATTTTGTCCTAAGCAAAACACCACAATGACAAAACCAAATTCGCATAAAATTACCATTTTTTTTCCCGAGAGAATTGATTTGGACAAACCAGACCGTTTTACCATTCTCAAGACTAAAATATAACAAAGCTAACCAACATTCATATTTCAGGACCTTCTCTGACTTCAAGCATTAATCTTCCGCCCTATCGATTATTTCTTGAATTATTCAAAGCACTGTATGACCTTACTGTTCTTGTCAAAGCAGTACAAGTGACATGTTCGATTCGACATTTGTTTTCAATTCTAACTGATCAGTAAAAAACATTTATTTTTAAACTGTGCTTATTCGGTTGAGGAAACAATGTAATTACTTTTTAAAGGGGAGCTATCACTTCTCTGAAGGAGACAGTTATTCAATCCTTCACTTCAGTAAATGCTGTCGGTAAGCCCTTCCACTTGGGGGCGATGTTGCCTCATGATGCTCAAGGAGCCCTATGATGCATCCTTTGCATTGCGCATCTACCCTCACAGTGCCCATGAGCTCAGCACAATAAATATTATTGCATTGTAGATGCTGGCTCTACCAAAGAAGCCTTAAATACACTGGAAAAAAATTAAAACTTCCCAAAAAAAAGGACGACAGCTTACTTTTAGTTAATTATTGGTCCAAGCCAAAATCAGAAAAGTGATAGGGCCACTGTGTATTGTAGTCATATCTAAGCTCCTAGTTCCGCTTCTTTTTGGTTGATGATTGTAGCTGGCATTCAACTGCTGCTGCGTGGTCTCAAGGTAAGCTACATCGTCCATGATTACTGCTTTTAGTGGTCCATGACCACTTCTGCTTTTAAGTGGTCTTTGGGGAAGAAATCGACGTGAAACACATCTAGAGATATTTGCACTTTTGGGCCGGGGTCTATTTGTCAGACAATGGGGGTCTAGTTGTCGGACAATGTTTGTATGTTTTACTGTCGTGAGACAGGCTGTTATTAGAGCACCAAACCTGAGAAACCTGTCTTACAACAGTAAAACATACAAATATTCTCCTGGTGATGCTAGTGGTAACAAATAATACTTTGCCCTCTGTAATGGAAAATAGAGAGGAATGAGGAAAGAGAAAAAATAAATAAAATCTAAATTGCTTTTACATTTTTGTTGTTACTAACTGATTTAACTCCACATTTGGGATCCAGACCTGTCACACTATGTCAACAGTCCAACGCACACTATGTCAATATTTTTGTAAGCTGAACATAAAGTTCAATCTCATATAGTTTTGTTTTTGTTGCATTCTGTTTTTGTCAGTGCTGTCTTTATATTCCCCATTCTATCATCCACAGAAGGCATGTGCATGGGGAAAATATTCAGCTCGATTCGGCATTTCCGAAATTTGGGACTTCAGCAATTCGGGAATTCGGCACTTCAGCACTTGAACACTTAAGCACTTCGCCACTTCAGCACTTCGGATCTTAGACACTTCGGAACTTTGGCACTTCGGATCTTAGACACTTCGGAACTTCGGCAACTTCGGCACTTCGGCAACTTCAGTACTCAGGCATTTCGGGACTTTTCTTGCAGCCGCTTGGTAGATAACTCCCTAATTCCCACGGGGCCCTAAATGCAAATTTAACCCCCCCTCCCACCCAGATGACTAGGAGTCCCCAAACCCCTAGTCACCCTTATCCCCCATCACCCTAAAAATAATTAGGGGGGACCTTTAACTAAGTACCTGTAAAAATAAAAGTAAACTTACCATTTTATGTTTTCTTTCCTCTAAAATCGTCTTTTTTCAGCCCCTAAAAAGGCCAAATAAAAATCCATAATAACCAACGCAATTAAAAAATAATAATAAATAAACGAGTGCAAAAAAATTATAATCCATCTTCACTAGGCAAGGGCTCTGCGCAGACTCAGCTCTGCAGGGCGGGGGAAGACTTATAAAGCCTTGCCCCGCCCTGCAATTAGGCTGAGAGCACTCTGATTGGTTGGTTTGAAATACACAAATCAGAGTGCTCTGACAGGTAAATGAAGAGACTGACAGGTAAGTCTCTAAATTTACCTGTCACAGCACTCTGATTGGTTGGTTTGAAATCCACCAATCAGAGTGCTCTGTGTCATTTTACACAGAGTGGGAAAGTTCTTTGGAATTTTCCCATGCTGTGTAATTTGACTCATAGCACTCTGATTGGTGGATTAAGTAACCAATTAGAGAGTTATGAGTCAAATTACACAGCGTGGGAAAATTCCAAAGAACTTTCCCATGCTGTGTAAAATGACACAGAGCACTCTGATTGGTGAATTTCAAACCAACCAATCAGAGTGCTGTGACAGGTAAATGTAGAGACTTACCTGTCAGTCTCTTCATTTACCTGTCAGAGCACTCTGATTGGATGGCTTAAACCCACCAATCAGAGTGCTCTGATCCTA